TAGCCAGATGTCTGAGAATGACCACAATGACGATCGGAATGCGAATGAATCAAGTGATTCGGAACTGGAGGATCCATTGAACAGCACATCAGGAAATCAAAGAGTCAAAACAGTCAACAAGAAAGGAGATAATCGTGCAGTAATCGATTCTAAAAGTTGTGAAAGTGATCATGATAGTGATTTCGTTGACGATGATAATCTTAGAGGAGCAAAGGTTGGTAGTAAAACACCTCGGACTTGTAAAGTGATATATGTTAGGGAAAACAGTGCTAGGAAAGGAAAACTAGAGTCTCCCAAAGTACAAAAAACCCCAAACACAAAGAACAATCTCACAAAAAGCAGAGCAGCTGAAATGCCAGAATTATCCATTCCAAAGATTAACGTGGGAGGAAGTACGAAAAAATTGGGTCGACAGCAGAGTGTGAAAGACACAGCCACACAAAAAGCAGAGAATGAAAAAGGCAAAGAGAACAAGAATGGAGGCAATGTGAGGGGTAAAAGTGGTATCACAGAAAAGGGGATAGAGGAGGGAGAGAGGGAAGACAGTTCTGTTGAGAGTAGTAATGAAGATTATGATCAGAATTTAATTGAATCTAGTGACTCAGAGCTGGAGGATCCATTTAATAGTAAAGCTTCAAATAAGAGCAACAGTGAGCAAAAGTCACCGCAAAAGAATGTAAAGAACAATTCCCTTAATAACTCAAAAGCCAGGAGGGGTAATGACGGTGAAGAATCGGATATTTCAGGAGATGAAAATGAGGTTGTGGATAAAGGTGGAAGGAAATCTTTAAGAAAGAGTAAAGCAACAGTTGGAGAAAAGAATACAGACAGTGAGAGCAATGTAAAGAAAGGGAGACTTGATACCACCAAACCCAACAAGACTCCGGTCCCAAAAAACAGCTCCAGAGTATTAACTAAAACAACAGAACCATCTGCATCTTCCACACCAAAGAGAAGTGGACGAGGAACTTCCTTAAAATTGCCTGTGCAGCAGAAGATCATCACACAAGCTGAGCTACATGTCACGACTTCACCTTCGTCGGGGGAGGAGAACTCAGATGATGAGGCTACCAGTAATGGTGTATACCACAGTTCTGATGATGAGCCAACCCCCGACCCAACAGTGGGGGAAATTATCAGTTCTTCTCCACAGAGAGCCACGAATGATCCAGAAAGGTCCAATCCTGCCGAAGAGTTCAGCTCTGAATCAGAATGGGAAGAAAATGCCACCTTTCCAGGTATAAACATCAGAATATAAGAGGTTTTTTAGCTAAAGACAAAGTTAACTATTTATGCAAATTATGCCAAAATTGTTTGATTGCTTAGAATTCCCATTATACAATATATCATGTAAAATGTAATTTCTGTGCTATAAATGGAAGATATTGAAAAAAGCTGCAAAACCTGAAAATTTTAATGTATTAAAGGCATGGAAGAACAAAAATGACCCCTTCTACCATAGTCATTGTCGGCACCCCATGGTTCTCACCGTTACACTCAAATGTAGTGTACCATAGAGAAAACCTTTGGGGATTCTGACGATGTCATAGTCTTTAGTTCGTATCTTTTTTTTTTCTCTTTTATTAAAACATGGTACATAAATAATTCATTGTACAAAAGCATAATACATACATTGCATAGCTACTTGAACATCAAAATCACAAGTAATTGCCTATTTCTAGATATAAATTATCCTTAATAACATGTGCCTTCCGTAGAATTGCGTTTTGTAGACAAAGAGAATTTTTTAACTTATTTCGAAAAATTTCTGTAAACATATTTTCTTTTTCAAATCTACATTTCATTTTATATTTATAGATGTTAAAACATATAAAGGACAATAAATTATTCAATCTCGTTGTTTTTGAATTGATTTCATTGTAAAAACCTAGAACAAGTATTTTCCATGTGACTTCAAAACCCAAAAATAAACTAATTTTTTTCCATATATTTTCACAGATTTTACATTTGTACAAGAGATGTTCATTGTCTTCAACAACCATACAATATTCACAATAAGGTTCTACATCTTTGTTCCATTTACTTACATTTAGATTATTATTCAATATGCAATTCAGTAATTTATAATTGAATTCAGCAACATTTTTTTCATACATATACTTAATTTTAGCTAGATATACATTTTTCCAGATATATTTGTAACTACGATCGAAAGTCTTTTGCCACATATTTTCATAAACTGGTCTTTGAAATTTAATGTTTACCAAAATTGAATAATAAAAGTCACATTTAAGATTTTCTAGAGTTCTTATGCTATTATCTCTAAATAAAAATGACATTTTGTTTTTAATATTAACACATTTAGCATATGTACAATCAAAATTGTTTTTGTATTCTCTGAGTACTTTTTTTATCATGATATATTCACAAAATATATTGTTTTTCTTTTCCAGTATGTTGTAAAAATGTTCAATACTAAGAAAGTTTCCATCATTATCGAAAAGATCTTTGATATATAGAATATTACTTTTTATCCAGTTTTCAAAACAAAGAGGTTTAGAATCATACTGAAACAAATTATTGTTCCAAATGAATTCCGATAAAAATTGGTCTCTCTTTAAAGTACAAATTTGTTTAACTTTTTTACATTTATTGAAAGCAGAAAGGACCTTACCATAAAAAAGTGGTATTCTTATCATCTTAAAAAAGGCAGTATTTTCAAAGTTAACTACACTTGTTTTGACAATATCATTTACTGATAGGTTTTTAAGATTAAGAATATTGTTCAACATCTTACATATTATATTTTCTTTATCTAATAATCGTTTTATCCAGGAGGCTTTTGCTGCAGTAAATTTACTCTCTATATCAACAATACCTATTCCACCTTGGTCAACTTTACCGATTAGCGTATTTCTTTTTATCCTATCTTTTTTCTTCCATATAAAATTAAATACAAGTTTTGATACTTTTTTAAAGAATTCTTTTTTTTGGATTTGACAAAATAAAAGCATTATATACCAATTTAGATAATGCTAGTGTATTAATTATGGTACATTTTCCAAAGATTGTTAAGTTTCGCTTTCTCCAAACGCTCAGTATTCTTTCAAGTTTCTCCAATTTATTCGTCCAGTTCATGTCATAACAAAAATCCTTATCATGACCGAGATATATACCTAATGATTTTACATGGCTTTTAGCAATTTTTACACCAAATATATGATTTTCGTTTAAATACCTTTCAATAAATTTTCCTGTTAATAAACATTCTGTTTTGTCCAAATTCAATTTCGGGCCTGCGACTTTGCTAAATTCACTTATTGTTTCTAAAGCTTTTTTCATTGAATTAGTGTCTTTCAATAGATTAGTGCAATCATCTGCATGTTGAACGATTTTTAAATTTCCATTATCACCTGGCGATTATTTCTTCATTATTTTTAAGCTGAACTGCTAGTATTTCTAGCACAAAAATAAATAAAAGCGCTGATACGGACAGCCTTGTCTAATCCCTCTTTGCATTTCACATGATTTTGACATCCAGCCATTATTTTTAACTTTGAAAGTTGGTTTGAAGTATAATGTCTTTATCATCTTGATAAAGTTTTCTCCAAAATTAAATTTTTCTAGAGTTTTGTACATGAAGTTATATTCAACAGAATCAAAAGCTTTTTCAAAATCGAGAAAGAGCAAAATACCATCAATATCATTATTTGTACAATATTCAAATATGTCTAATATATTTCTTGCGTTCTCTCCAATGTATCTACCTTTAATATAAGCACTCTGTTCACTACTAATTATTCTACTAGCAATTTTTTGCAAACGATTAGCCAAAACATGAGCGAAAATTTTGTAATCAACGTTTGTTAGACTAATTGGTCTATAATTCTTAAGATTTTCTTTCTCTCCTTTTTATATATATCAGGGATATCACAGCGTTTCTTTGCGAAAAGGGCAAAATACCATCATCAATACTTTTAAGTAAAGAGGGAAGAAATATTTCCTTTATATCATGCCAAAATCTTTTATAGAATTCTGCCGTTAGGCCATCTTGTCCAGGGGATTTGTTATTTTTCATTTTAAGAACAGCTTCTTCGCATTCTAATTTTGTAGGTAACATGTCGCATAACTCTTTTTCGGCCTTTGTGACCTTTTCACAGTTAACATTCTTAAAATAGTTTTCAACTTCATTATCAGAAATATTTTTACTACTGTATAATGAGCTATAAAAAGTAAACAAGCTTTTCATAATATTATCATTGTCACAAACAACAGTCTCATTTTCATCCTTTATTTTAGTTATTGCATTATTTATTTGCTGCTTTTTTTCAAGACCTAAAAAATAAGAATTACTTTTCTCCCCCTTTTCTATCCACAAAGCTCTAGATCGTACATAAGCTCCATTACATTTCTGGGCATAATAATTATCTCTTTCTTCTTCAAGCTGTCGTTTGTATCTCATATTTATTTCAGTATAATGCTTTAAATCGATTTGTTTTAATTGAGTTTCTATAAATTTGATTCTCTTTTTTGATTATTAGCTTTATTTTTTGAAAAAGATACGCAGAAGTCTTTTATTGATATTTTCATTCGTTCCCATCTAACTTTTGGATCGTTTAATTGCTTTAATTCTTCTTTTTCGTCATTTATATGTTTTCTTAGTTTTTCACAAAAGTTTTCGTCATCTAATAATGAGTTATTTAGCTTCCAATAACCACTTCCTCGTAAAATTTCAGACGTACAGAGATCAAAACCTAAGCCTAAATGATCGCTCATACGTGTCCCTTCAACACTGGGTGCTCTACGTACAGTAATATCACAAAGTGGGAAAAACATATTATCATGCATAAAAACATAATCTATTCTACTCTTAGGAATGTCCTCTCCATCACACCACGTTAAACCATTTATTCTTGTTTTTCCACTGGAAAGCCAGCAGTCATTTAGATCAAAATATTTCAAAAAATTTCTTAGATTCTTAACACTTTTATCATTTTGATTATAGTCTAATTGACAATTAAAATCACCACAGACAACAAGCCCTTCTACATTCATAGCATGTTGACTAACCCAAGATGATAATCTTTTAAAAAAAGCAATTCTAGAGTGTTCAGCGTTAGGTACATACACATTCACAATTGTAATAATTTTTTCATTATATTTTAAGTTAACTAATAGTCTTCTTCCATCAAGAGACTGGTGATAATTTAATATTTCAACTGAAAGGTTTTGCTTAAAAAATAGCGAAACGCCCCTACTAGTTCGTATCTTGATAACATTGAAGTCCATATATATACATTTGTAAGGCCAGCATTTTTTTATTTTTAGGTTTACGAACATCAGAATGAAAAAGTCCCGTAGGAGGAGGAAATAAAAAAAAAATAAAATTATATTTTGGATAAATTATCGACTTTTCTACATTAATTTTTGCTTCTTTTTTTATGCTCTCCTAACAGGCTTCTTGCCACTGGACACATAAGGGTTACAAAGGGGAAAATACAACCTTTAATTGTTTATTTCATCATATACCAGCTGGGGGCAGTGATGTAAATCTTTTGATGTTGGACAAAATACAGATTTTTTTTAAAAAATCAATTTTTAGCTCTACTTGTCAGAGACCAGAAGAGCTTATGCGATAGTAATGCGTCCGGCGTCCGTCCGTCCGTCCGTCTGTCTGTCTGTCCGTCTGTCTGTAAACAATTTTTCAAAATGCTACTCCTCCTACAGTTTTGGTCTGATTTCAATATAACTTGGCAAACAAGTAGAATACACTAAG